CCGAAATACTTTTTTTCTGGGGCTATTTTAGGCGCGGTTCTAAGTTTGCAACTAAGGCAAAAGATCGAGCTATAATATTGTATAATTTATTGTTGTTTTATTAAAAGATAAATCACGGATTACTCTGATCTGATTCTCCTTCGAAGAAATACTTTGCCAAAAATATATCACAATTTGACGTTTTCAGTAATGTTCAAGTCTTCTTACAATGTACTAACTGTTATGCGTAGTTCTTTATATAGTGTTGTGTACTCGGTACTCGTTCTCGAGCTCAACTCGAGTACTTTTTGAGATTACTTGAACTTGCATGTACTCGAACATCAAAATAATCGAACTCGAATTCATGGTATTCGTACTCGAGAAGCAAAGTAGTTGGACTCGACTATTCGATATCGTGTTTCATCATCAAAGTACTCGTACTCGATTAAAAGGACTCGGGGGGGGGGTCAAGCAATTTAGTTTTGAATGAAGTATAACAACTCATTAGTTTTTATGCATGCAGGGTGGAAGAACTGGCTTTCAAGATGTCTTGCTCTGAAGTGGTTTCAGATTCCACTCACTACTTGAGATTTTAATTGTTTTTGCCTGAGTACTCCACTTGAATACACGAATGTCCAAGTTGGATTCGGGTACCTACTTCCGTTCGCAAGTGTCAAAGTGCTCGGATGCTAGTGGTACCCGATAGCTTGGTACTCGGCAGTACTTTGTACTCTGATGAAAGTACTCGACTATCCAACATTAGTTGTTTGCGCTGTGTAGTGGAAACTATTACTGTTGATTTACAAATTTCCTAAACCTGAAAATTCACTCACGCCTTCGTTGTGAGCATCGAGTCATGCGTTAATTTTGGTGACTGCTCTGTGTTCCGACACCCCTATGTTCCAACAACCTGCACATAAGATTGTGTTACTCCCGGTTAGGGTTAGGGTAGGGTTAGGAGTAGGAGTAGGGTTAGGGATAGGAATATGACCAGTGGGAACATTGGTGTGTCAGAACATAGGTGTGTAACCTAAATTTTCTGCATGTCCGTACATGTGGCGTATTCGACAATTATAGTCTCATTATGGGTTGTACCCAAAACCTCAGAGTATATTTTGCAGTTTTAGGGCGTGGTATACAGCATTACCGGGTAGAATCAGTATGGTGCCTATGATATAGCGATGAGTCTTGCAGTGTGTCGCCTTCAGGGAATACAACCAAAAATAATGACTTTCAAATCCAGCATCTTTGATGCATTGTCGTTTACAGTGTGTTGTCCAAGGGGACTCGTTATAGACCGAATTACGTCATTAGTCCACTACAGATTCATTATCAAAACCGCAATAGCATCAAACATCAAATGTTCTTAACGGGTGTTTAACTTCAAAATACAGAGTTCATTTTTGAATGGAAAACAACTCACTATGAAGTTTCAGATTGATTGTTTACTAAACTGTATAATTCTGTGTCGCGGCTGGTTAGAGTATCAACTGCGATTTTTGAGACTTGCACAGCAAAATCAATACCGATGTTTTTGGTTAATTCAAGATGAACGACTGGTCAATCTATTTATTTCGTCAATTCACAATAATACTAGGAAATCAGAGCGCAAACCTTTGCTAAATCCTGCAATACTTCATTCTTTGACACGCTTGGGAAGAATATTTGCATGACAATGTTTTCATTGATGAATTTTACGTACGATCAAAACGATGTTGTCTTTGAGTTGGAGTCGCTGATTTTTGTTTCTTCAATTCGAATCGATTTATTGCAATTACTCTCAGATGTCGTTCAAGGGCGCATCATGCTTAATCATCCTCCGGTTCTTAAATATCTTATTTATCATTATACCGAATTTGATTACCTTTTAAATCGATATAGTTTCTTGGAATTATGATGTTGGCAGCGAAGTCCGAAAAAGAATGATTAAAACAAAAATCATGAAAATTAATTGTGTCTACTGGCTTTTATTATAATTGTTTCTTATTTTTGTGTCAGTTTTAAGGTTTTTTGCCTTCGATTTTGTTTCTTATTTGTAAGCAGGTATTGATTTACTAAACAAGTGTATTTTTGTTCTATTCGGGCAGTCTTTAAACTGTGAGGTATAGAGCGTTGCTTCCTTTTTTTCTCGAGCAATTGTGTTTGGCAGCAATGGCCGGCTATCTCCCTTTTAAAGGCATATATAAGATCGTTTGCTTTTTCATGCATTTTGTTCCTTTCCAATAACAACACCACTCAAAATCCAAAGAGGAATGTTCAAAACATAACCTGTTGAAGTTTCAGCTCAGTGGATATAACACATTTCGAGAAATCAGTGAAAAAACACGCACAATATTTTGATCACGAAACACCATTTCGACCATAATACACTCCGTATTTCTAAAAAAATCAGCATTGATCTTTGGAAATCACCTACATTTCTTGATTTCTTCTAAATGACAACAAGCAGGCGCGGTTCTACGGGGGGGGGGGGCTGGGGGGGGGCTGTAGCCCCCCAAAATTTTGTCTAGCCCCCCCCCAAATAAATTCCGTAAAAAAAAATTGCATTAGCAAAAAGAAGGATTGTGATGTACATTATGCGAATGGTCTCCCCCTAAAGAAGTAATAGCCGTGACAAGGGTGCATTAGTTAATATAGTGTGAATGATTTTAGGATTTTATTGGCGCTCCCCATTAAAAACATTGCATGAGCCCCCAGGTAAATTTAAGCAAGTAGTTTTAATAATAACTAGGTAGGTTAATGTTGGGACAAATGCAAATGATCCTGGCTTTATAGGCATGATGGCTCCCACATTAATGTTTTGGGATTGTGTTTGTACCATTTTTTTATTGGCCTGCAAGCTCTTACTGAGAGAGTTGGAGCACTCATCTCTTCCATCCAAGATTCTTAGATGGGTCATAAGGTCATCAGAGAGGGTGTTCCCTAATCCATGCAGCGTGCTCGATTTGTGTGCTGAGTTTGTCTTTAATATCAACGCACATGCGCGCGTACGTGCAGTTCTGTTTGAACCACATCACAAAAGCCGTGTCTGCGAATGCGTTATTATATAAATTAAAAAAAAACGAAGCTGAGACTGTCAATTCGTTCGAGATTTAAACCGTGCAGACGTGCGCCTGGTGCAAGGAGGTAAATTCATCATGCGGGTAATCGCAGCACGAGACTCGGTAATGAAGGCGGGAGATAAGATCGCATTTTATTAGGTTTGGCCCGCTAATATTACGCCGCCTCGCCTGTCCGTGCTGATATACAACGTCACTTCACATCGCAAGCAAATTCAATTGGAAGGGCAACTCGTATAGCATCGTCTGCTGCAGACTAACATGAACAGCAATCGGCGGAATCCGAAATGTAAAGACAGAATGTTTCGTCTTTTTTTCTGTGAATTCTGCAGGCAAAATGGGTTGGGTGAATTATTATATTCTCTCGAGGAAGCACAGCCTATCAGCCAATCTCGCTGAAGATTCAAGGCTGTAGCTTTAGGCCAAGTTGATGTAACCATGTTTGTCTGATATATCATTGCACAAATGATTGTATTCATCTTTTCTGTGAGTTATTGTATTAATAAGAACCGGCCAAACAATGATTTAACAGAATGGAACTATGCTTTGCAGTTTGCTTTATTTTGTAGCATCAGGCCTAGCATCGCTTTTATGGATATGACTTTTGCGCGTCTGCTTTGAATCACGTGGCCGTGAAACTCTGAATACCGTGATCGTGCTCTGAATCACGTGACTATGTTTGCTGCCCTCAACCGTGCAAGACTAATGATCCATATTCAATGCAAACTAAAGAAAAACGTACACTCGTCAAATGGTTTTGAATTTTACAGCCGTCAGTATTTTATTCAATCTTTCCTTCGAGTCTGAATCTATTCAGCAGGAAAGACAGGAGCCACTTATCACGTTGAGGGAAAAAAAGGGAAAATATCCGGCGGTTTGGACAAACAGGAGAGGATATTGAATTCTCCCTCGCAGTCCATCTTAAATTTCATTGGAAATAAATGACGTTTTACCTTCTTATTCAATTACACGCGTGCGCCGGTCCCAGATTTTATTAATTAAAGGCAAAATAGGATCATTTGCCGTCCATGCATTTTGTTCGTTTCCAATAATAACACCACTCAAAATCCAAAGAAGAATGTTCAAAACCTAACCTGTTGAAGTTTCAGCTCAGTGGATATTACACTTTTCTAGAAAACTCTTCGAAACCATGCACAACATTTTGATCAAGAAGCACGATTTCATCCATTTCCAAAAATCGGTCAGTCGACTGAGCGTTGGAAATCACCTACATTTCTTGATTTCTTCTAAATGACAGCAGGCCAGACGGAATAATTTCACGGGGTGTTTAGTACCAGTACGATCTTTAATCCTAGTAAGCTTTTTGATAATAAATTAGGTAGGTTACTTTTGGGATAAATGCAAATGATGTTAAGAGGTGATTACTTGACAACTAAGATACGGATCTTAAAATATTTCGAAAAACAAATGGTGAATATTTTGGTACTAATAACCGAAATTGCTCATAATTTAAAATATAGAAGCCCTAATACTAAATTAGAACCAAGATATTTTAGTCTCTGTTCTTTGCTTTCAAAGTCATTCATGGGAGATGTTTCTAAAGATCGGAACGCTTTGGCGGAATTATGACACTTGCTTATTAAATCCACAAGGAAATATAATATGTAAAGACCGTTAGGCCTATTGCGCCACAAAGATGTAACCCACACATGAATGCATGCTATGTATATATGTATGTTCTAGTATTTTTCTTGTGAGAGTAAAAAAAGTGTATAACATTTCTATTTCTTTTACAGTGACCCAATTTAACAGCCTTTCCCGTTTTTATCTCCACTCAATCGTGCGCGTGCAGGCGACACACTAGACTGAGCACTTGTTCTATATCACTGCTCCGTCCGGCCGATTTGATTGGCCAGCAGCCGCGTGCGCGTGTTCCGATCATGCGCACTGAGACACTGAGTAACACGCGCTTCTGCAAACTCGGAGCGACAAACACCAACCCACCAAATTACATTTCTGCGTGCTCGCTCAAACATCACGTGCTTTATCACCGTCTCAGGAAATATCAAAGCGATATTTATTGAGTGAACCAACCCAACGTCGGATTACACCACAATACTTCATGCTTTATGATCAGAAGTAACTCGCTTTTATTTTTCTTCTCTCGAAGTTGGAGGGCCTCATCTCTGAAAGATTTAATAAAAACCTCTTGGTTGTTTTTGCTCCACGCACAGCGAGAGAATGTCATCGGTAACGCAGCGGCAATCGCCGAGTGTTGCTCGGTGTTTGTGGCGTGGATCATGGGCGCAGCTCGTGCTGCAAACCACGCTACTCGTCCTACTCCTGACCACGCAATACAGCACGGCTAGACCCGCTCTTATGGACTACCTACCGACGGACGAGTTGTCTCAAAGATCGGCAGCTGATACCAACTTTGAGGGGATGGATCTGCGAAGTCTGTGCGCCCGTACGCGCTCGGTGGAGGTGCGTGTGCTTTGTAAACTCACCACGCGGGGCGATCGTTGGTCGGAAGTCGAAGGAAGGAAGAAACTCGTTAATAAAAGATCTGGTAAGAATTCCTATATTTTTTTTCGAGGCCTTGAATAATTTTAGTCAAGAAAAATACACAATTTCATTTCATAATTTAGTTTCATTTCATTTTCAAAACTTAATTTTTAGTTGTGGAAATTACTCGTATGAAAATCTCTTGGCATCCATGACACTTGCTGCTTATATCAAAGAAATGAATGTGCATTCTAGATGCTCATAATCATGCATGCCTTTGTTTCTTTCATTTTTATTAGTAAATGCTGAACATCGACTCTTTTACACTTTAAAAATCCGAGAGAATCGAAGTGATCTCGACGCAATTTATATTGAAGCCGTTATGTTTACTCTCGAGGGAGTCACTTTCGTCACGCTTGCACGCCGATCTGAGCGAACATTATTGCGAACTTCCCAACATAAACCGAATTCACATCGGAGGAATGTAAATGAAACCAAATGCATTTCCGAATAACGTTGCTGCACCAGATTAGATCATTCCGAATATTCTGGAAAATCATCGGAGTTTTATTCACAATAGCTAAGGTGAACCTGGCGCATTATTTTTTGTTGCTTATTTAGTTTGCCGATTGTATAGCGCCTAATCAATAACGAAACCTCGATGTTTTACAACTTAGAAAAACACGTTAAGTGCAGTTCCGCAGGGCAAGCGATATTTACACGATGTGCGCAGAATGTCAGTTCAACAATTTGCTTCAAGTTGCACGTGATTTTTCGTTGCGTCCGAACGACTTGTCTGCGCTGAATTAGTTCACGAAATTCAAATGTTGATTTTATCTCAGCTTTGTCAATATGCAAATCAATGCCGGCAGTTTGAATCGCAATCAAGACAGTAACTGCTAATATTCCTCACACGATCTACATCCATGAACTACATTACAATCATTGCACTGTCAACAGCAGGATTCTATCACTGAGCTAGATCCTACACAAAGATGTACTTTCTCTGTACTTTTGGTTCCGCATCGCTCACATTTTCTCACCATTAATGGCAATTTTACACCTGACGATAGCCATGCATGCGTTGAACGCCTTCACCTGTCTCCGCGTACTTTTCCTGCGGTAATGTTTATTGGTTTCCGCTAAGATAACTCGGTCATTTCTAAATTTGAAAGAGAAAGGTTTAATGTGACATTTCAATGTTTTCGTCTTCCAAATATAAATGTCGGCGGTTTTACAGGCATTATTTAGATCGGGTAAATAGAACTTATCAGCGATAAAACAAAGCAAACTGACAAGGTTGTTTTAAAATATTAATTAATAGGCCATAAAACTAATTTAATGTGAGTTCTCAATGTTTTCGTCTTTCAAATATATGTCAGGATTACATGTATTAGTTCGGGTAAAATAGAACTTATCAACGATAAAAAAACAATCAAAATGAGAAGGTCGTTTTAAAATATAAATAGACAAATATAAATAACAACCTGTACTTTGAACCAACAGAACACAAAGTGCAAGACAGACAACTGCGTGAAATGGAAAATTAACGAACAAAAAAGCATAAATCTTTTCACTATTCTCTAACGATCACGTAAATTGTACCCTTTATTAATTAAAGTTATGACCGCGTCCTAACAACAAATGGAAACAAAAAACATGTAATGTACAAATTAACCGTTAAAAATTGTAATAAAGTGTAACGATATAGATTCCAGTATTTATTCCAAGGCGTTCGAAAGAAGTTTGAACTAATTGATCCATTTTTGTCAAGCTCCAACCGTACCCGTATCCACGACCCCACCGCCCCTTACAATAGGTTAAGGACTCTCACTTTCACGAGTAGATAAGTCAGGAATGTCCAACAACTTGACAAATAATTCCCAAGAATGTTAATCGTCGGGGACAATTGACGGGCGAGCCTCCCGGCTACCCGTCGCCACCTGTCACGTCGGCCGTTAATAGGCCTAGCGTAAATTCCACCTGCAGATTACAATGGTGTTTGTCGCGCATTTAAGACGCGCGTGCAGGGTTGGAATGTGAAGTGGTGACATGACTGAGTGAGATCTCAATGTTATCAAGAAGACGTTACCTTCGGGCAAGAATAGCATAGCACACGTGACTTGGGAAGATGGTTTCGTAACTAATTTGCGTAATTTATCGAAAATCATTGACCAAATTCTCACCCTGATCAGATGTTTATGAGCACGAACTGCGAATGACAAAAACTGGAAACAAACTCACAAGAATTGACTTTTTTTTGGTGGATCTTGAGCAATATGAAAATTAAAAGTTTGAACTTAAAAACAATATTCACTGTCACAGTAATTTGAATGTAACAATTATCCATTTCTGTATTACCTACAAAATGATGGGATCTCCCTTGAAATCCAAAATTGCCAAGAAGTACTTGTATTACCGAGTAAACAGTCCATAATGGTTATCATCATCCCGTACTGTTTTCACTGATATCGCCTCGCCCGATAGCGACAAGTACATTACCAGATGTAGTGAGACGAAAATGAGTTTTAAAAGCAACATTCGTTTTCCGCTTCATGAAAATAAGTATCAGAAATCACCCGGTAATATTGGAAAGCGACACCGTTTTCCCACGCTTGAATTGCGTTCTTCAAAACACCTTCAAGGCGAACGACTCCATTTTATGTTTTCGAACAGAAATTTCTGCAATCGCGGAGAATATTGCATTTCAAATTCAAATCATTGACTACTATTGTTGTAGGCCTCGTGGGTGCGTGGATTTCCATGTGAAAAGCAACAAGCAGTGTGCAATTTTGAAGCGCGGTCGAAAATAAAAAATTATCAAATTTATATAGCGACGCATGGCCAAGAATTTGACATTTAACGTTTCTACTTGAGAACACTATTAACGCATATTAACATGCCGTGAACATGTAATAAGCTACAGACGCGGTTTTGTGTATTTCCGTGGTTCCCATGGTAACCCCTCCGTCGGTTCCCTTTGATTACCCAGCGAGCTTTTTCATTGTGTTTTCTAGTTTCCACGGCTGCCTTTTTTATATTAAATTTTCATCATTGTCGTCTGGAATTTAATTAGGTCATCTCTGCCGTCATTATCATTTAATCTAAAAGGCAGTAGAAAAAACACCGGTAGTAGACACTCGAGCGTGTCTTTAATTTTGCTTGGATACGTCCCAGAATGTACATCATAACCAAGACAATTAATGTAGGCATGAGTCCAAACAAAAATGAAAGCATAAAGTAATTGCGATTTTCTGTGACAGTAAAGAAAGGACACACCCATTTACAGTTATTTTGAGGACATGATCCTGCAATACTGGATAATAATAAGCACTGCCGTGTAGAATAAGGGGGGGGGGGGAACCTCACATTCTTGTTTCTTATACCGATTTTTTTAGAAATATTTATTTTTTATCCCCAAAGATATGTCCTTTGATAATTTTACCGTGATTATCATTCGATGAAAACGAATTACAAAAAGTGCCAACTGCAGGACTCCGTAGCACGCCGTGTCATGTTTGTTTTTACATTTCACCTGGGAGAAATCATCTTCATAATCATCCTTTTTATTGATTTGCAACGTGGGCAATTATTGCATCTGTCTTGTCGGAGAGGTCTTCATCAGTCTTCCAATCAATAACTAGCTCATTAAAATCCCGTTCGCAAGGCTAGACAGAGCAAATTACTTATAGTTCGTATGATAGAGCATTTCCTGGATGTTTTGCAGAGTCGGCAAGGCATGTGCTAGATATCGTTTATGTCTGTTTATTTGTTTCTTTCTGGCAATGAAACAACGATTTCTCGAAAAGTGCCCAAGGCACTGTAGCTCACAAGCCTGACGAAACCTGTAGAGAGGAGACAATGAAAAGAAATTACAGTTTTAGAGGTGGGAGAAAAAGCCCAGAAGAATATTCTGGGGAAAACCCACAGAATCAGTCAGGGACTGAAGACCCGATCTACATATTGGCCCAGGCAGGAATCGAACCCAGGCCATAGCGGTGGAAGGCGAGGAAAGTAACCAATGCGCCAACCTGACTCTTAACAGTGTTAAGACAATTTGATGCGAGATGCTGTTTTCGCTCAGATCTTGAGGCGAGCTGCTTCCAACCCACGAAACCAGAGCCGTAAGTCTCAGGTCTCGTTGACTAATTGTATTTTCTCTGCAATCCAGAAATCAAACATGTACTGCAATCCCGCTGCTAAAAGGTTGAGCTCCATCTGCCTGTTCATATTTGCAAGAGGCGGCGCATGCACTACACTCACTGTATCAAATTCCTCCAAAATCCGCTCGGTATGCACATTTTATTATGAGAAATTAAAATATTTACCAACGCGTAGTTCAAGGTAAGACAGGTCTGCTTTATTGACATCCGGTTGATGTATTAAGTTAAGCGTGGAATGGGGTTTTGATGGTCATGCAGACGACATTTATTGGGTCGTAAAACAGGCCGCGGTTCGTTGTTGTTACCACAGCATGTGTCCCCAGAACTTTAACCGGGCTATGTGAAATATATTCAACGAAAAAGAAAGTGATTACACAGATTTGAAATAGAGAGAAATAATTAATAAGGAAAGAAATACATAAGGCGCATGTAATTATAGGAGCGCGCCAACATACTCGTGAATTTTAGCAGTCACGTGTAATTTGCTTTGCTGCTGGGAAATAAAAATGGTGTCAAATAATAAATCAAGTCAATTTTTCCCCTACATTTTGTTACTCTTGTTATTAATAGAACCGAACAAATTTTTATCAAATTTTAAAAATCTTATTATACTTTACACAGGCAAAAAACCAAAAATTATACACATAACAATTATAGGTCTGCGCCTCGCAACAAAACTGTGTGATGCTATTTATCATACCTCTATACAACTGTCACGTCAATGTTGTTCATTATATCAATTATCAGAAACCATGGAAACATCACAGGCTCTCTCAATGAGGAGTAACGTATTTGCCGGACGGTTAGCCTTGATTATTTTGAATCTCTCCCCCACCGGCCAATGAAACTGACCCGGATTTCGTCACTCGTGAAATCTGGTTAACAAAAAGGGCCTTGCGCGACAGTCTAACAAGCAAACTGTCTTTTATTCATGTCCAGGGGGATATGAAATCGAATTTTCTGCTTTCCCGCCCGGTCGCCCCAGCTACTCAACCGAGAGCCGGCCACCGACTAATTCTTTAATGAAAACTGCAACATCGCTCAAGTTATCATAGACTGCCACCGGTCCTCTGGTTTACTATCTGTCGCCGAGCGTTTAGAACTGATGACGCAAAGTTACTTGTCAATTCAAGTCTGAGTACAGATTGCCGTTATAGTTTTCAGTAATCCTACTTTAACAGGCAGTGCAGATTGTTCGTGCTATATGTGTCAACAATTTGTGATAGCAATGTGCAGGCTTGTATAAAAAAAGGCCATCTGTTCAGTGACGTCATTGACAGTGACACGATTATTTCATTAAAACTTCATTTCGAGTATTGTTCCTGTGGGATTTCGTTCATTTGCCTTTAGTCGGCAGGATATAAGAGCTTATCGCTGACTGGTGACTTCGCAATATAGTTATACGGTGAACTACAGGGTGAGTCCAAAAAAGCGGAACCCAAACCTTGAAAATATATTTCATATTTACAAAAATATGTAGCACCAAAAATAATAATTTCTGGTAAGCCGATTTCCTAAGCTACTTTTAGATGAAAAAAATACTGAAATTGCTCAATTCGTTCAAAGTATATCACCATTTAAACACAAAAACCTTAAAACCTCTTTCGTCCAAAAATGGAATTTCAAGAATCGTCGTCACAATTGTCTTCAAACATCACCAGCGATAAAACCTCAGGTTAAAAGTTAAAAATATTCAACAAAGTCCTTTTGAAGGCTCGCCTTTTGCAAAAAAAGGGGATTTTGTAAATCATATTGTTTGCCTAAGCATGATTGTTAATAATGATATTGTGTACTGTTGTTGACAGTTGTCGAAACAAGTTTTCTGTGTCAGTTTCTTTGTTATTCCAAACAGTTCCAAATAAATTGGGGTTTGTTTTGTTTAACGAAACAGGTTTTTAGGGTCATTGCGTTTAAATGGTGATATTCTTTGAACGGATTGAGCAATTTCAGTATTTTTTTTTCATCTAAAAGTAGCTTATGAAATTGGCTTACCAGTCATTTTTATTTTTGGTGCTACATATTTGTTTAAATGTGAAATATATTTTGTTTGGGTTTGGGTGCCGCTTTTTGGACTCACCCTGTACATTGATTCTCCAATGATTGGACAGATAATGAGACACGTGACCTAAATAAACCAATCATCGTTTTAGTGCCCGTCATTTTTCATAAAATGGCGCATTTTCATTGTGTTCAATCCCTTTCTGGGATTCAACTTAAGGCCGCATGTCAAGAAATGGAAGTGACTAATTTCCCGCCATTTTCTGTCTTCTTTATTCTCCTGTCCAGACTCTTCGTCGTTGTCTGCGTTCCAGCGGTTACTCAGCCAACTCCGAACGGCTTCGGAGAGCCACTCAGAGGCGTTGCAGCAGCTTCAGCAACTACGAGACATGGGCGTCATTGACGAGAACAACCAGGTCATCAGTATACCCGCGGACTTGCGAGCGAAGATGGAACAGCTGGGTTAAAACGTCACTTCAACGACTGCACGGGGAGACTACGAGCTTGACATTTCTGTTGTTTCGTCATCAAAAGGTTTCTTTAGGCCTACATAGAGAAAACGCGCTTAATGAATGGACAGGATCCTTTGTTTCAAAGGCCAAACAAGTGTTTTTCGAGTTGAAGGGTGCTCTGAATGGTTTTGAAACAAGTAGCAAAAAGATGTCTACCATGGTAACGGTCGATACTGCGCATGTGTGACATGGGTCAAAGCGCACGCGCATAACGTGATTGGTCCAAGTATTCCCTCCGTCGGTAAAACCTGAAATTACTTCACGGTATAGAAAACGCTGGCCGTTATCGGCCACCGTATATTTAACAACACTTTAAAGATATTTTCTTGTTATTTATTCTTAATTTGTCATTATGACCAAGAAGACTTTAGGTAAAAGAAGTTTATGCGAGGATTATTGAGGCCTAAATAGCTGATGACTCGCAATGTATGTATATAGTGCACTAAGTGTCGTTTCTGAGGAAACAAAATTAAAACTTGCTCTATATTTTTCCGAAGCAGAAGTTAATGTGTATATTTTCTTGCTTATGTATTGTGCTAAAGCTTCTCACCTTTTTCTGTAACCAGTCCTTTAAATGACAAATGGTCCGGTAAAATACAGCAGCTTTAATTATTGTAGCGCTTGCTCGATTTACACTGTGAATGGTCGAGGTGTCGCAGCGTACAAAAAGCATCTGTCAGTATAAACTCCCTGATATCACTGTGTGAAGCATTTGCACACGCAGTGGCAAAGTCGTGAAGTTCCTGTGACAAGATAAAAAGAAAAACGTTGTATTTTAATTTTAATATTACTGCCTTGGCCGACTATACCTATCCAACGTCAGAGTCACGAAACGACTTTGTTATTAAATACCCGATATTCGGGGTAAAATCAAGACAAAAATGAACCACAGTAAAGACGGTTCAGCAAATCAAGGATTTATCTACGTAGGTGTAATATGAAGGTTTTGGCCAAGAATGCCACAAATACAGAAGATGCAAATTCAATAACGTTGTAACCATATTATACCGCAACGTCACCGCGTTGTGTGCGCTTCTATAATGTACGACTGCTGAAGCCCCATTTTTAATTGAAGTGCTGTTTGTTCAATACGACCTTGCACTAATTTCGTCCGCCCCATCGTGACAACAAAAAGCAATTAACGCTAGCTAAGATTATCCCAACAACAAGATCGCCATTAAATTGACAAAATGTATTCATGTGTTTATAAGGCAACTAGAACCTCTGGCATCAAACAGTCGTTGTGTTGTTAGCATTATTATTTGTATTATTATTAATATTGTAAATACATTAAATCCAAAATCTGATATATTATATTATAATATATGTTTGTTTTATCTGCAGGAGCTGTATAAATTATTGTTGTTGTTATAATATGGACTGATATGATCGGTTATATTTTATTTATCTGCAACTTCTCTTGTATTTCTGCTGCTGCTTTTTTTGGCCAGATTTACATTTCTGGCATCTTCTAATCTATGTATTTCGCTTTAAACTCTATTATTATTGCTGTTTCACATCTTTAATCAACCATTCCAAACTCAGTACCGATGAACCTCAACTCGAATTTGTTTTCGAGACTTTGCCGTCATTATGTTTAGCTTATGTATTTTTTTTTTTTGGCAGTTTCTTTTATATTATGCCTTTATCAGTAACATGTTCGCTAGATTTACACAGAATATAACGTCATTTATGTCAATGTAAATCGCCACGTGTTGATGTTTTAGTGAGAATTTAACAGCAACAAACAATTGCTATTGGAAGACTCACATTGTGGACATCTTGGTCACATCCCCAGACTGCGCGTAACTTATTGATGGATACTATATGGATAGACAAAAGCACTGCCGGAGATGCCAGACTAAAATTGAAACTGGTACTAAGCGTCTTTTTGCGATATTGTTTATGGGGTGCGTGGGAACCAGGATGACCACTATGTGAAGATTGTAGCAAGCAAGATGTACACGCTTTTGCTCTTTACTTTTAAAGATGTATAGACTGACAAGATTGAATTTAATTCAACGACACTTGACTTAATGTCCAGCAGTACAGTACTTTTGTGTTTTTTTGCAGCAGTGTTTGCCACGCAAAAAAAGATAGAAACTTGTAAACTGTCTGCCATCTTATTGAGAAAAACCTGTTGTAGTTGTATGAACATAATTTAGTCTGTAATGTAGACTGACCAATTTTACGTGACGATATTAAGTGTTATCGATAACACATTTTTGACGCCAAAATTGTGGGTTAGCGGGAAAGTTTCGTCTGATATTTTTCACGGATATTTAAGATCTGAAGTGCGACGTCCCGTGTCATGAGCAGCCCTACAGGCGGGGTAAACCTAGGATTTGCTGTCAGCAGAGGGTTGATAGACAGGGAAATAGGCACCCCAGAGATTTGAGAGTTTTTGTCTTGATGAACTCGGAATAATCCAAAAACAGTGGGGAAAACAGCTAAGTCTATTTGCAAACGAGTCGCATTGTAGAAACCTTATCCCTTAATGGAATTACATTTGTAACGAATATCGAGCGAGGCTGCTGGCAGGATGGTCACTGATGATGTCACGTAGAGTTTCCGCTGATGGGTAGAAACGAGAGAGAGAGAGAAAAAAAAGCGCGCCAAATCGACCCAAATGGCGCGAAAACTAAAACCAGTGTGTTGATGATGTGTGGCGTGTATGCATGGAGGTGTTCCTTACGGAATCAAGTCTAGGTGTTTGTGACTGTAAACAGTCTTCTTCGTTTAAGGGTTTTTCCTGTAGGGAGGCGGGACTGGCTAACGCGTTTAACTGCTCCTAATTACATTAATTTCGACACGTCGGTGCTATCCGATCCGGCAGTAGCCTTTCCGGTCAAGTCTAGCGGGCTGTGCACTTTCACCAACTTGCCGGATTGATCCGAGGTTTTCAGGAACAATCTTCCTCGCAAATTGTCGCTCTTAAAAAGTGCATCTCTGCCAATGATACGCAGTCAAATTCTTCAATTGTCTCTCTGGTTTCACTCTATTTGCATCGGATTTTGCCGCGAAATATTCCCTGACATGACAACAGTTAAAACGGCGCGCCTATTTGTATAGTAATTCTGCCTCTTTTTTTCCCTTTTCGGCTCTGGGAAAAAAATGACAACGTGTTTGATGTCCTGTCCGTAAATTTGCAGAAAGTGTTAAGCTTGCATTGCCGCTAGGCAAGCCATTACGTGGATTTGAAGAGTTAAATGTTAGAAAGTAAATGATTCGATTTGCTACAGCTTCGCTTCCGTACAGTAAATCGTAAGATAGGCTTTCCCAATACAAGTCGCAGATAGTGTCGTTGTGACTACGCGGTTGTAGTCTGCGATGATGTCTGTACCGATCTGCGATGCCGTTACGATTGTATAGAAGCGAGGCTGAAGGCTTGTGATGCAAACATTTAAGATTGTATGTAAACGTACATTTAAAAGACACAACAAGGCGAAATGTTGACATTGCATTTTGTGCTGATGACGATATAGTGATATTGGTAGAATAATTAAAACCACTAAGCATCTGAAATAATTTGAACTTTGACCTCTGTTGTCTACTTTATTCGTTGTGTCTTTCCCCTCCCCTTATAAGTGTGTTCGTTAATTGACATTGTGTGAATGTTCGTCTTTATGGTCTATCGTCCAGTAAGCTTTGTGGAACTGAGCTGCAACAAATGACAAATGATCAACGAATGGCAAATTATTGATAGAAATTAGGAGGATCTTGGCATGATGATTCGACATAATCAGTTTCTCTCAATTAAGTTTGTTTTCACTCACTCCCAACGAACGCAGACATAAGATGAACACAGAGTTTTTGTTTGTGTTCTGCTGTATATATTTCAGACGGTCGATCGCGTTTAGCTTGCGGGTCTCCGTGTTCGAGTCCCGCCCTCGCACATCGTTCTGGATTTGACCTTATTAAGTCCAGACAAACTTTGGCCGGGAGCGAATTTGCAATGAGAGAAGACAATGCAGCAAATAAGAACTTCTAGGAGATTCGGAAGTCACGTGATATCGCTAAACATGAAAACGATCGTCTTTTGTAGTAAAAGGGTTGAATCTAATTAATATTTCAGACAGGGAAAAACCCTCCCGCACTGGATCTCATGCATTTCAATTAACCACAGCTTCAAGGGAAATGAAAATAACTTATCAAACCTTCCGGTTTTTTTTGTTGGTTTTTTCTAAAGCGCATCTTGATGCTGGATGAAGGCTACCGATTCATGCCAATGATTTTAGCCTTGTTCTGTTGTTACGAATCCGTAATAAAGAAGATTTACGTAGTTGTTGACTCTGATGTAATAGAAATTCCAGCCGATTTCCTGAAAGAACAAGGATATTGGAGTTTTATTTGTCCGGTTATTCTTGCTGAAAACACCTTCAGTGTCCGGTTGGAGGAGGTGGGAGGTGTGTAATGGACAGAGATGTCCGGTTGCCCGGATGTAGGCTGACCATCGGCGGGACTAATTGGATGAAAGTGGAAACTTGGCCACCAAAACGACCAGAGTAAACGATTTCCATGCTGCTCTTGTAGCACGCTATTTGAATTAAGAATTTAGCACAACATTTACCAACCCGGCACGTTGGCAAAACTAGACATGCATATTCATGAGCCTAACACGCGCGACTGTGGCATCATAGGGTACAAGTAGCTGATCACAGAGAGGTCAATGTCATGTGACAAAAACTGCATCCTACATGGAAACATCAACCCTGAGCACTTCCACCGATGACGTCATTGCATCCATAATAACGACACAAATAAACTGTTAACACATTACACCTGCCAAGAAGTCACGTGGTGTATATCAGTTAAGACATGGTACTAATTGATTCTACAAAGCAAAACATGTTTCTCAGCAATATTTTCTACCTTTAACATCAGGCTCTGTAAAATAATTCCGGCAGACTGGGAACGAGTTAGCAAGCATCCAACCTAATCACGTGATAAGTTGACTTTCACTGACCCCACCCCTCCCCCTCCCCTACCCCACGGGGAGCCATTCCGTTCTTCGGGTTATGAATAAATGACATCCTCTTCCCGGATCCCATATTGCATTATTTTATTTTCCTCTACGGGTCGACTGTTGATGACTCTCATCTGTTTTTACTGTTTCCCCCGGCGATGCAATACACACAAATATCTAAATTGCAGCTCCTGCACTTAAAACTAATATCCTGGCACGCAAGCCGTGCCTATTGGGAACAGACTAAAGTAGGCTCTAATTCTTTTTATGGAGGTCTTGGTCATCAACTACAAGATGAAAATCTGACCACGCATCCGTCAAAATTGTGATAGGAATTTCAACTGTGGGGTTTATTTCACAGCGACTGATGGTGGGCGTTACGGTGTGAATTTACCGTAGTAAACGTGACAGTGTACGGTGGCTCTTGGCCGCTTTCGCTGCAACTGTTAATGAGTTAACAGCAGTGAAATAGGTTTGATTGGGGATATTACATAATAAACGACAACTTCACATAATGGATGACAACATCGCATAATAGGCTAACAGCATCTCAATAATAGTCTATAATAACCCCATCCTCATGATGAACAAAATAAATTTGCAAGTTCGGCGTTCCATACAATGATGCTGTCTTGCCTTAATGAATGGACATGTCTGTCAGGATTCCTAATTCCGGCCAAGAACTATACAATTTCGTCTCTCGGTAATTAAACTGTTAGATGAGAATATTATTATGACGACTGTTTCATGTTAAAGATTTTACTCGATTCACAAGCCAACCTGTTTGTGCCAATCAATCAATACGTTTGTTGTTCCATGGGGTGCACCATTCTCTGAATTCCAAAACAGTGACAAAAATTTCCAATTTAATTTAAGCATCAGATTTCTTTAATTAACGCAACTAGGTCATCATTCCGGTCACTGTAAGATGAGAAACATCAAAATACAAATATTTATTGCAATATTGTAATTTTCCAAGACACGGCACAACAAAAATGACGTCACGGAGTGAAACTCGAACCTATTCCCAATTTCCACTTTTACCTTCCTAATTTCACAAATCTTCTCAGTTTCAAATATTTTTGTCGGGTCGAAATCTGGTTCAGTGCGCCACCCCACCCCGCCTGCATCCCCTCATACATATGTGCAGGACACATTTTTAAATCGGACGAAGAAAAAACAGCATCTCCTTGTCAC